AAAAATTCCCATTTCTAATTATGAGACCTCAGAGTTTCAAGGTTTTGCTTGTGTAGTATTATACTTGTAATTACTGTGGCATTTGAACTGATCCATGGATGAGAGTCTGTTTATCAGGTGGAGATAGCAGATGAACAAGGAAGGATTGTTGTCACACTTCTTTATCCTTATTCAGATTAGTAAGAGAGGCCTATATGGTACTCAGAGTATAAATAGGGAAGGCAATTTCCAGGAACTGTAAAGAACATTCTTTTTCTCTTTTTTTAAAAAAAGATTTTATTTATTTATTTGACAGAGAAAGAGATCACAAGTAGGCCAAGAGGCAGGCAGAGAGAGAGGGAGAGTCAGGCTCCCCGCTGAGCAGAGAGCCTGATGCGGGGCTTGATCCCAGGACCCTGAGATCATGACCTGAGCTGAAGGCAGAGGCTTAACCCACTGAGCCACCCATGTGCCCCTGTGAAGAACATTCTTAAGATCTCACACCTGCTGGCAACTTAGCAGCCAGAATTTACAGGAAATGTTAAGAAGTAGGGGCATGGTATGGAAAAATATTGTTGGTGATTAGTTAGAGATATAAGCCCAAGAGGGACAAAAAGATCTACATTGTTCATTTCTGTGTCACCCAGCATGTGGCACGAAGCCATGCCCACCATAAGCATTTGGGAACTATTATCGGGAACTAATTATCAGTAGATGGATTCCAGAATGACCAAAGGCACACGCATGAGAATACAAAATTAGATCAATCAGTAAAAGTCATGAAATCCTCCCTTTAAGCTTGGTAAAAAGACTGTACGTGAGGAAGCAGGATTCAGAAGTAAAGTCCAAGTACAATCTAAGAGAAAAATGAAACCTGTATGTTGATCAATGAAGGGACACGTGCTATGAGCATCTTCTGCTCTGCGGGCTTCTTTACTCAGGATCCTGGGGCCTATCTCTGCCTCTTTGTCATCCCTGGATAGAATGTGCCTGATTATTCATCTTAATTTCTGAAAAAAGATTCTACCACCTGCTGAGCGAAAGAGACCTGAGGTTTGTATAATGATTTTATATTAGCAAATAGTCTTGAATTTCTACCAAAAGCCTTTAAAAACCACTCGTATCTTAGTGATTAGCCAAAAAGAATTTCATACCAGGGTGGTGTCTTGTTCAAGTACCCAAAATAGGGTTAGTACCAGGACCTGCTCACAGGCCCAATGTACAGTGAAATGTTTGTACGTGTGTTGCTGCTGCTGCTAATGTTATTATTATTATTATTAACCAGGTTAGGTATCTTAATCCTCCATTGTACACTGACCTGTCACAGTGTGGTCGCTTCCTTTTTTTTTTTTTTTTTTTTTTTTTTTAAGTAGTCTTAATGCAGGGCTTGAATTCATGACCCCAAGATCAAGACCTGAGCTGAGATTTAGAGTCGGACATTCAACTGACTGAGCCACCAGGCGCCCTGTCATATCTTTGTTCAAGACTGAGATATATTTCTCTGGGACAAAGATGACATGTTCCCCTAGGTACACTGGGCAGTTACCATACAATATTAGTATTTACTTATTTGGCTGTCCAGAGTAAGCAAATATTAATTAGAATCGTGGCTTTTCAGTGAGAGATAGGCTAGACAGTGAGGCACAGATGGCTGCCATTTTGTGCAATGGATATGCAGAGAGATTTTTCAGACAAGCACCAGACTTCCTGCTTCAGTGGGTGGCATTCTGGCAAGAAGGGCAGATGGACTGTGGGCCCCTTGAGGTGAATCAGAACCACCATACATACTTGCTTCTGGAGTCTTCCCAGAAGCAATTGCTTCTGGAGTCTTCCCAGAAGCAATTGCTTCCTTCCATTCAGTGGGAAAGGACAAAGCCAAAAATGAGAATGCCAGGAAAATGTAGGTGTCTCGATTTCCACAGAATAATCCGAGTTTAATAAAGCCCCCAAAAGAGAGTAATGTATTTTTAACTTTTAGCCCTTAATTAAAAATTTAATAACCTTTGTTAATTGAAAAAAAAGGGGAAAGTATTTGGTCATTTTTTTCTTCCTCATTTCTACATAACTAACCATGTGTGGATGTGTACTCTAACGCTAGAAAGCTAATGTGACACATCACTTTAGGGAAGGAATAAAATCATCATCCCATCCACGTCTCTTGCCTTGATTCATAGCTCAAATATTTCTATTCTTGGAACATTACTGCAGCTCTGGTGCTAAGAAAATTGCTGGTGGATGAAGAATGATTCTGCCGCCTTTCATCCTTCACAATGTCTGCGCCCTGTGACTAATCTAACTTTGCAATGGTGCCATCTAGTGTTCACACGTCCTCAGTATTACAGCTCAACTTCGTTAGAAGCGAAATAGTAAGAGAGTAGCAAGCAAGTTACCTTCTAAACAGTGTGCCGGGGAGAATCAATGAAACACAAGAACAGCATTTTTCATTAAATGTGTATTTCTTATTATTATTGCCTCATTTATTTATTACATTTTCTTCACAAAGATTTTTTATATATTCTATTTATATAGTCAAATTATAGATAACATACTCCACGTATTGAAGTTATACTTATTCTGTCTTTCATTTTGATATTCTTTGTATCTTCAAATACCTCTAACACACTAGTCTTTGTCTTTGAAGGCAACACAACCAACCTAGTCACAGTTGGGTTGGCTTAGAGTGGAAACCAAAGATAGAAATCATTTATTGTAATAATTGATTGCACTGCCTATCTTGTCCCAGGCTGTGTTTTGTAAGTGCTCATGATTGTACCTTCAGGGGTTGGGTTCTTCACTACACAGCCAGAGAAACACAGAAGGGCTTTGATATGCATGGAATAAAGTGTTTAAAAAAAAACAACAACCCACCCACAGACAAATAAACCTAGTCTTACCATTGACACTATGTTAGGACTATCTGTTTAAAAAAATTTGTAGAAAGTAATTTAAGGAATTAATGAGCTTGGGTTCAGTTTTCGAGATGTCCCACGGATGTGATTTTTATTTTCTTTACTAGCCTTTGAGTTGACTTCTATATTGCTTATCAGTTCAGAATTTTAAAACGAAAAACCTATATTTATTTATGAAAGAAGAAAATTAATTTAAGACAAGCCCTATTAGATCACCTCCATCATTTTAACCTGCAGAATGGTTGACAAAACACCTGCTTTGACTGGCTTCAACCCTGAAATGAAGAGGCTCAGCCTTCGCCCTCTCTAATATGGGGGAGGTAGAGTCCCAGGCTCTGTGAGAACACGGCCTATAGGCAGAACTCATCTAGTCCCACTCTGAACTTGGCTCTCCCTTAGCTTTTTGTTACCTCCTCAAGGACAAGATGTTCCCTCTCACTTGTGGCTCTGTTTACCTGCCTTGCTTTAAGCAGGAGTGACTTTTGTGCTTCTGCTCTTACTTGGTTAATTATCACACCCCTTCAGTGGCCTATGCATCATTTCCTTGGAGAAGCACTCCAACCCCTCATCAGCCCTCTCTTGTTATTAGATATCATCCAACACTTTTCCTTACTACCACTCACCACACTTTGCAATTACATACTTGTGTTATTATCTACTTAATATGCCCTATCCCCACTAGATTATACATTTTGAGCAGGCTGAAATAATCTTTTTTTGACCATTTGAGGTCCTAGCCATTGTGTGTTTCTGTAGTTCAGTACAGAGTAGGCATGTGGGAAATAGATGATGAAATCAATGCAAATCCAAAATTGAGAACTGAGATGCCCATTGTCCCAGCCCATGTAGTTTTGTATGTCAGCTCTGCTTCCGCGTCACCCTTGAGGCAAGAGAATATTCACTGAGGCAGGAAATTCAATAGTATGGTAGCTTTCAAGGTATACCCGTCTGGGGACATGTCACTTCCTGCAACTCAATCTGGGAGTGGGATGTTCATTCTCAATACTTACAGAATCCCTGACCTTGTTCACTGCTGCTTTTCCACTTCTCAAGGTCAATTGGCCTTTCACTCCCTGCCCACCAGTTTCTCCTTGCCACACTTTTATACCCTTATATCACCCAAAGTTAAATAAATACACAACCAAAATTCACCTCCTGTAATATTTACTGTCTGCCATCTTCATGGAATAACATGGAGATAGAGACCACAAAGTATAGTGGCTCAGTCAGTTAGGCGTCTGCCTTTGTGCTCCGGTCATGTTCCCAGGGTCCTGGGATTGAGCCCCACAATGGGGTTCCCCGCTCAGAGGGGAGTCTGCTTCTCCCTCTGCTTCTGCCTGCCACTCTCCCTACTTGTATGTGCTTGCTCCCTCTGTCTCTGTCAAATAAAAAATCAAATCTTAAAAAAAAAAAAAGAAATCCTATCACTCTTGTGGTTAGTAGGGAATAAAAATAAGTTTTGTACATTATACAAAGGACAGATTTTGTTTTCTTTATTCATTTTTGTAGTATATTCCTTCTATTTCTAGAAGACCCTAAGGATTCCCAACTATCTTAGAATATTAGACAAGAAATCATGCTGAGAATCAATCACCTTCAAAATAAGTTCTGCTTAAAAAGTTATAACATGTCATACTAAGTTTCTAATGTCTTTTAACCAATCACCAATGTCTTCTAAAGAATAGGAAATGAAGCTAAGATTCCAAGCTGATTGTGACATTGAATACATGCGTGCACACCTCGATGGATTTGGTGTTTTTTGTAGATTGTATTATATTTCATTTAAAGTCTGGTCTATTGGCCCTGTTTTCCAAAGTTAACACTTCTCCTTAACGTCAAGTACACACAAAAGAAAAGTGTTTCAACTTCTGACTGTTTTCAAACCACACTGCAGCTTCCCAGAGTCCTTCCAGACCCCTCTCCCCTCCACCTGTGGTACAGCATGTCATAGGCGTTGTGAAAGTGTGTGCTTTTTCCAAGCTGAACTTCCTGACTGAATTGCCAACTCGTATGGACTTCTGACTCTTCAATGTGTATTTGATGAAAAACTAAATCGGATAAAGTAAAATAAAGTTTACTCCAGAGAATATCTTTCCACTTCTGTCTCCACAGCAGCACGGATGTACACACAGTGGCATCACTTCTTAAACTCTATCTCCGAGAACTTCCGGAGCCAGTTATTCCTTATGCAAAGTATGAAGATTTTTTGGCCTGTGCCAAACTGCTCAGCAAGGACGAAGAAGCTGTAAGTTGATGTATTTCTTTCTAGAAAAACCTTCATTTGGGTTTGTTTTTTTTTTAATCAATGTTCTTAGTTTTTAATTTATAAATTTCCTTTTGTCCCATCCTTGGACTATTTTCCACTATTGTATTTATTGACATTACATGCACTTAGATATCACACAGACAACTCAGGTCCCATTTTTAATCCCCTCTCTTATCAAAAAGAAAACTGTAAGTTAATAAATGAAATGAGCCCTCCTTGCCCACTTTGCTCCTCTAAGTGGTTAATTGTGGGGTACATCAGGCCAAACATTCCATGAACAAATTGGATGCCTTATTTCATATTCTCTTTTTCATTGTGAGCCCCTCTAAATTACCTAAACAATGCCACCTACCAAATCTTATCTACCATTTTTTCCTTTTATTTAATTTTATTTCTTTTCGGTATTCCAGAATTCATTGTTTATGCGCCACACCCAATGCTCCATGCAATACGTGCCCTCCATAATACCCACCACCAGGCTCACCCAACCCCCCCCAAAACCCTCAGTTTGTTTCTCAGAGTCCACAGTCTCATGATTCGTCTCCCCCTCCAATTTCCCCCAACTCACTTCTTCTCTCCATCTCTCAGTGTCCTCTGTGTTATTCCTTGTGCTCCACAAATAAGTGAAACCATATGATAATTGACTCTCTCTGCTTGACCATATTTCACTCAGCATAATCTCCTCCAGTCCCATGCATGTTGATACAAAAGTTGGGTATTCGTACTTTCTGATGGAGGCATAATACTCCATTGTATATATGGACCATATCTTCTTTATCCATTCATCCGTTGAAGGGCATCTTGGTTCTTTCCACAGTTTGATGACTGTGGCCATTGCTTCTCTCTACCATTTTTAAAAACAGCCTTATTGAGATATAGTTATATACTATAGAATCATCTATTTGAAGTGTATAATCAGTGCATTTTAGTATACAGTTGACCCTCAAATAACATGGGTTTGAACTGCATGGATCCTCCTACACACGGAAATTTTGCAGTACAGTGCGATAAATGTACTTCCTCTTCCATATGATTTTCTTAATACTTTCTTTTCTCTAATTTACTTTATTGTAAGAATACAGCATATAATACATAAAACATACAAAATATTTGTTAATCAACTGTTATCAGGAAGGTTTCCAGTCAATAGTAGGCTATCTAAGTTTGGGGGGGGGAGTCAAAATTACTCATGGTTTTTTGAGTTGGGGGAATTGGTGTCCCTCACCCCTCCCTACATTGCTCAAGGGCCAACTGTTTCTCAAGAGTTGTGCAACCACTGCCAGAATCTAATTTTAGAATATTTAGCACATTTTCATCATCCTATAACAAGCCCCATACCTATTCCCCTGGTTCCACCTTCCCCAGCCCTTGGCAACAACTAATCTCTTTCTGTATGTATAGACTTGCCTATTTTGGCTATTTCATATAAACAAAATCATTCACTACATTGTCTTCTGTGACTGGCTTCTTTCACTGTTTTCAAGGTTTATTCACACTATACCACATATACTAGTATTTCATGCCATTTATTTATTTATTCATTTATTTATCCATCCCTCAGTTGCAGCATATGTGGGTTGTTTCCATTGTTTGACTATTATTATTAATGCTGCAGTGAATATTGATGTGCAAAGTTTGGCATGGACACACGTCTTCATTTCTCCTGGGTTTATACCCAGGAGGCAGACTTGCTGGGCCATGTGAAACTCTGTGTTTTCTAAAGAGGATCCGTCATTTTTAAATTCCCACCAGCAACTTGGGCAGATTCCAACATCTCCACACTTTTACCAACACTTGTTGTTATTTCTCTTTTTTATCATAGCCGTCCTAATGTATGTAAAGTGAGATCACCTTGAGCTTGAGTTGCATTTCCCTGATGGTTAATGATGTTAAACATTTTTCCATGTACTTATTGGCCCTTCACATACTTTCTTTGGAAAAATCATTTTCCCATTTTTAATTGGGTTATTTGTCTTAATTTGAGTTGTGAAAGTTCTTATAGTTTAGATTACAAACCTCTTATCAGATATATGATTTGATTTGCAAATATTTATCCCATTCTATAGGTTGTCTCTTAAGTTTTTTAAAGATTTATTATTATTTATTTATTTTGGGGGCGGAGGGCAGAGAGCAAAGGAGAGAGAATTTCAAGGAGACTCCCCACTGAGCACAGACCCCCCCCCCCGACTCTCATGACCTGAGGCAAAATCAAGAGACAGATGCTCAAAGAACTGAGCCACCCAGGCGCCCCAAGTCTCTTCAGTTTTTTGATGGTGTCCCTTGAAGCACAAACGTTTGTAATTACAATGAAGTCCAATTTATCTATTTTTCTTTTGTCACTTGTGCTTTTAATGTCATATCTAAGAAATATTTAACCAAGCTCACCAGGATTTATTCCTATATTTTCTTCTAAGACTTTTGTAACTTTAGCTCTTACATTTAGGTCTATGACCCATTTTGAGTTAATTTTGGTTTATGATATGAGGAAAGGTCCAACTTCAACCTGTGGCATGTGGATATCTGGTTGTCTCAGAACCCTTTGTTGGAAAGACTGTTGTTTCCTCCACTGGATTTTCTTGGCACTCTTGTTGAAATTGCTGCCTGTTTTTATAAATGAAGTTTTACTTTGTTATGTAATGTTGTCTGTGGCTGCTTTTGTACCACAACGGGAGAGTTGAGTAGTTGAGACAGAGACCATATGTCCCAGAACGCTTGCAATATTTACCATCTGGCCTTTTTCAGGAAGAAGAACAAATTAGATTACATTATCCATTAGCATTTCTGGGACCATTTACATTTTAGAAGTTCTACAATGAGAAGAACCCATGCAATTAATCCCTTTGTGAAATGTCCATGAATAGCAGGCTTTTCATTCTCCATCCCACCCCAAACGATGTGTCTTAGACATGGTCCATCTTGAGAGACTTATTTGTCAGTAGACGTGTGTTTGTCTCTGTTTTGGGAATGTCGGAAATGAGAAAGATCCTCACTACATTACGGCTGCTTTTTCCCCCAGATAACCTTATTATAAATGAGGCTGTCTTCCCTTTTTAGTCAACTGTGAGCAAGTATTAATAATGTTAGAAAGGCTTCACTTAACATCTGTTTCTCCACAAATAGTACTTATGGAAATATTTTAAATACTTTTTCACATCCTTGAAAATATTTGCGAAATCCTCTCTGTAATGGCAGCAAGTTTTCAGAACAGGATTCCTCACTGATGATGTGTGAAACTAATGAAAAAAGAACTGTATACCCACTTTTCATTTGCTTTAATTCCAAGGCCAACACTTAGATAACATTTATTCTCCATTTCTTTTTACTCAGGGTGTTAAGGAATTAGCAAAGCAGGTGAAGAGTTTGCCAGTGGTCAATTACAACCTCCTGAAGTATATTTGCAGGTAAGAATTGTCCTGAAGACAAAACTAAAGAGAACGAGACTATTTGTAGCCTGATAATAATTTATTTTTGACCATGAATAAAATCAGTGACCTGCTCTGTGCTCTAGTGTTGACCTCTGTAAAATTAAGAGGTTTGATAAGATAATCTCAAGGCTTTCTTTGAGCCCTGAAATTGCTCGATTTTGTCATTTGTTTCTGAGTCTCTCTTACATCTACATATTAGGGATATGTTGCTTCGAACTTCCATCAGTTGTTTGTACATGTGCTGTGTACCTTCATTTAGAGAAGGAGCATTTCCCTTGGCATGAGAAAGACCTGTACGGGAGTCCAGTTTCTATCACTGATGTCTTATGTGTCTGTATGCAATTTTCTTATCCTCTCTAAGTGTCCTACTAGGTAAAAGAGTATTGAAAACACACATTCCACACAGTTGTTTTAACATTTAAATTATATTTTTAAGTTGGATAAGTATTATTTTCTTTCTGTTTTTCTCTTACTACAAGACTTATTGAAAAGACATTACTGTTTGGTTCTTTTAGGACACTAATTGTACCTGATAAAGCTCTCACTCATGACCATATTTCCCTATGGCTTGGGATAGTATGTGCTATGTCTGTGCCCCTGTTTAAGAAACCCTATGATTTCACTCATATGTGGAATTTAAGAAACAAAACAACCATGGGGGAGAGAAGAGAGAGGCAGACAAAGGAACAAACTCTCTCTTTTCTTTTTTTAAAGATTTTATATATTTATTTGACAGAGAGAAAGAGAGTGAGAGAGGAAACAGGGAGAGTAGGAGAGGGAGAAGAGGCTTTCCATTGAGCAGGGGGCTTGATGTGGGGCTCAATCCCAGGACCCTGGGATCATGACCTGAGCTGAAGGCAGACGCTTAATGACTGAGCCACCCAGGCACCCCAGAAACAGACTCTTAACTACAAAGAACAAACTGATGGTTATTGGAAGGACGGTGGGTGAGGAGATGGGTGAATAGGTGATGGGGATTTAGAAGGGCACTTTTTGAGATGAGCACAAAAATGGAAGTGTTGGAAGTGTTGAATCACTGAATTGTACACCTGAAACTAATATTACACTGTCTGCTAACTAACTGGAATTTAAATAAAAACTTAAAAAATTAAGACACCAAGTATTTAAAATTGAAAAATTAAATTTAAATAAAGAGATGATGGTTGGCACTACAAGTCATTGTAAGGTATCTTAAAGGAAAGCCTCTCAGTTTATTTTTAAATAATTCAAATTTTTAATTCAATACAGTGTTATCATTTACATATACTTTTTGCGTCATGATTAGGTAAACATTTGGCAGATTGGGAACTATGCAGTTTAAGACTAATGCCTGACACTGTGGACCTCACATCAATTGTAACTGAGTAGGAATTCTAGAATCTCCTACTGTAACTTTTTCTGGTGATGGTAGGAAGCAAATATGAGCTTAGGTTTCAAAATTTAGAAAAAGGAAAGAAATCATCTCACTGATAACATAGACTCATTAACACATTGGGGTTCTGTCCCAAGATTTTGAACTAATTCAGGCTGCTGTGGTGAATGAGAAAGGAGGACATCCTCTTTAAGTAAAAAGGAAAAGGCTCTTTCTTGAGAACTATATTACCCGTCTTTATCTCCATAGTAGGAGAACTTCACTTCTCTTGAAACATTTTTTTTTGAAGATTTTATTTATTTATTTGACAGAGAGAGAGAGAGATCACAAGTAGGCTGAGAGGCAGGCAGAGGGGGAGGGAGGAGCAGGCTCCCTGCTGAGCAGAGAGCTCAATGCAGGGCTCAATCCCAGGGCCCTGAAATCATGACCTGAGCCGAAGGCAGAGGCTTAACCCACTGAGCCACTCAGGCGCCCCTCTTGAAACATTTAAGCAGGCTTTTTGTTTCAGCTAAAAGTCTTAATCAAATAAGAAATTACACTGGTGTGAGTTTTTGCCTTTCAGTTCTACACTAGCTATCTAACAATAATGAATAGGTGGAGCAGGCGCCTTTCTTCACAGTCATAGGGGAGTAGTCCAGAGCACAGACTCTAGAGTCAGACACTCTGGGTTCAAATCTCAGCTCTGCCACCTATTACTTGTACATCCTCAGAGAATATTCTTAGCCACCATGGTGTCTCATTTGTCTCATCTGTAAAATGGAGATAGTCAGTAAGTAAACCTCACAGAGTTGCTTTGAGAATTCAGTAAGTTAGTGCAATGTCTGACACCTAAAATATATTATTTTAAGTAATAATTAAGTTCTCTTATTTTCTTTAGCATAATGCAGTCTAGTTTCATCCATGTTGTTGCAAATGGTAAGGTTTCATTCTTTTTGATGGCTGAGTAATATTCCAGGTCTCTCTCTCTCTCTCTCTCTCTCTCTCTCTCACACACACACACACACACACACACACACACACATCTTCTTTATCCATTCTATGTTAAGTGAAATAAATCAGAGAAAGATAGATGCCATATGTTTTCAATCATGTATGGAATTTAAGAAACCAAACAGATGAACATAGGGGAAAAGGGAAAAAAGAGAGAGAGAGAAAGAAGCAAACCATAAGAGACTCTTAACCATAGAGAACAAACTGAGGGTTGATGGAAGGGAGTTGGGTGGGGGATGGGCTAAATGGGTGATGGGTATTAAGGAAGGCACTTATTTTGATGAGCACTGGGTGTTAAAGTAATTGATGAATCACTAAATCCTACTCATATATTAACTAGAATTCAAATAAAATTTTGAAATAAAAAATAAATAAGTAAATAAAACCAAATGAAAAAAAATGAGTTCTTTTTTTTATTTTTCATCACTTCCTCTTTGTTTCATCAGTACAATTAGTAAACCATGAAATCTAGAAATGAAGAGAGGGTAGGGAGTGAAAAAAGGCTGAAAGACTACAAAAACAATCCTTCTTACTAAAATCATTTGAGGAAAGTCTAAATCACGCCCCTTAATCTTTAGCACCTAATAAGTTGAAAAAAAATGTGCTTATAGGGGCGCCTGGGTGGCTCAGTGGGTTAAGCCTCTGCCTTCGGCTCAGGTCATGATTCCAGGGTCCTGGGATTGAGCCCCGCATCGGACTCTCTGCTCAGCAGGAAGCCTGCTTCCCCTCCTCTCTCTCTCTCTCTCTCTCTCTGCCTGCCTCTCTCCCTACTTGTGATCTCTCTCTCTGTCGAATAAATAAATAAAATCTTTAAAAAAAAATGTGCTCATAATTTTTTGTATCAGTAGAATTAAAGTTTTAATTTAAACCATGTTTGATCTCATTTTTTAATAGACTATAAATTTGAAGCTCACAAATTACTCAATAAAGAGGGTTAATTCCTCCTCTCTGAAATACAAGACTGTACAGATGGTCTTTTTTATAGTTTTCAAATTGAATACACATATAAATTGAATGTTTTATATAAGGATTGGAAGAAAATCCATATTCTTGAGTCTCTTGTCCATATTAGCATTATCCAAATACACCTGTTTCTGTGATTGAAAGAGGAAACTAAGCCAGGCCAGAGATGATATTTGAATGATTCCTCAAGATTGATCCTTAATCATTTGCAATATATTTTCCCCTCATTTGAGAGATGTTTGAATTTCTAAATAATTTTGTCTTCATAATTGTATTTGAACACAGGTTCTTGGATGAAGTACAGTCCTATTCTGGAGTTAACAAAATGAGTGTGCAGAACTTGGCCACTGTCTTTGGCCCTAATATCCTGCGTCCCAAAGTGGAAGATCCTTTGACTATCATGGAGGGTAAGTAAATGATTACCTTACATCCTCATCAAGAGAACAATCAACTGTCTTTTGTTTGTTTTGTTTTTTTTTTTAAGTTTACTTATTTCTTTTTTAAAGATTTTTATTCATTTATTTGACACAGAGAGAGAGAGATCACAAGTAGGCAGAGAGGCAGGCAGAGAGAGGAGGAAGCAGGCTCACTGCCGAGCAGAGAGCCTGATGCGGGGCTCGATCCCAGGACCCTGAGATCATGACCTGAGCCGAAGGCAGAGGCTTAACCCACTGAGCCACCCAGGCGCCCCAAAGTTTACTTATTTATAGTCTCTATACCCAATGTGGAGCTCAAACTCACAACCCAAGATCAAGAGTCATATGCTATGCTGACTAAGCCAGACAGGGACTCCCAATCAGCTCTCTTTTGGTTGGTCTGAACCTTTTCTCTTCTAATAAAGTTAGAGAAATAAGTAACTCTATGGTAACTCCGTTTACTTTTTTTTCCATTTATTTATTTTTTAAATTAAATATAATATATTATTAGCCCCAGAGGTACAGGTCTGTGAATCATCAGACTTACACACTTCACAGCACTCACCATAGCACATACTCTCCCCAATGTCCATAACCCAACCCCCCTCTCCCTCCTCCCCTCCCCCCCAGCAACCCTCAGTTTGTTTTGTGATATTAAGAGTCTCTTATGGTTTGTCTCCCTCCCAATCCCATCTTGTTTCATTTTTTCCTTCCCTACCCCACAAACCTCTCACACTGCCTCTCAAATTCCTCATATCAGGGAGATCATATGATAACTGTCTTTCTCTGATTGACTTATTTTGCTAAGTATAATACCCTCTAGTTCCATCCACGTTGTTGCAAATGGCAAGATTTCATTCCTTTTGATGGCTGCATAGTATTCCATTGTATATATAGACCACATCTTCTATAGCCATTCATCTGTTGATGAACATCTAGGTTCTTTCAATAGTTTGGCTGTTCTGGACATTGCTGCTATAAACATTTGGGTGGACGTGCCCCTTCGGATCACTACATTTGTATCTTTAGGGTAAATACCCAGTGGTGCAATTGCTGGGTCGTAGGGTAGCTCTATTTTCAACTTTTTGAGGAAAACCATGTTGTTTTCCAGAGTGGCTGCACCAGCTTGCATTCCCACCAACAATGTAAGAGGGTTCCCCTTTCTCTGCATCCTCACCAACATCTGTCCTTTCTTGACTTGTTAATTTTGGCCATTCTGACTGGTGTGAGGTGGTCTCTCATTGTGGTTTTGATTTGTATTTCCTTGATGCCACGTGATGTGGAGCCCTTTTTCATGTGTCTGTTGGCCATCTGGATGTCTTCTTTGCAGAAATGTCTGTTCCTGTCTTCTGCCCACTTCTTGATTGGATTATTTGTTCTTTGGGTGTTGAGTTTGATAAGTTCTTCATAGATTTTGGGTACTAGCTCTTTATCTGATAAGTCATTTGCAAATATCTTCTCCCATTCTGTCAGTTGTCTTTTGGTTTTGTTGACTGTTTCCTTTGCTGTGCAAAAGCTTTTGATCTTGATGAAGTCCCAATAGTTTATTTTTGCCCTTGCTTCCCTTGCCTTTGGCAATGTTTCTAGGAAGAAGTTGCTGCGGTTGAGGTTGAAGAGGTTGCTGCCTGTGTTCTCCTCAAGGATTTTGATGGACTCCTTTCTCACACTGAGGTCTTTCATCTGTTTGGAGTCTATTTTTGTGTGTGGTGTAAGGAAATGGTCCAGTTTCATTTTTCTGCATGTGGCTGTCCAAGTTTCCCAACACCCATTTGTTGAAGAGACTGTCTTTTTCCCATTGGACATTCTTTCCTGCTTTGTTGAAGATTAGTTGACCATAGAGTTGAGGTTCTATTTCTGGGCTCTCTATTCTGTTCCATTGATCTATGTGTCTGTTTCTGTGGCAGTACCATACTGTCTTGATAATGACAGCTTTGTAATAGAGCTTAAACTCTGGAATTGTGATGCCACCAACTTTGGCTTTCTTTTTCAACATTCCTCTGGCTTTTCAAGGTCTTTTCTGGTTCCATATAAATTTGAGGATTATTTGTTCCATTTCTTTGAAAAACATTGATGCTATTTTGATAGTGATTGCATTAAACATATAGATTGCTTTAGGTAGCATAGACATTTTCACAATATTTGTTCTTCCAATCCATGAGCATGGAACATTTTTCTATTTTTTTGTATCCTCCTCAATTTCTTTCATGAGTGCTTTATAGTTTTCTGAGTACAGACTCTTTGCCTCTTTGGTTAGGTTTATTCCTAGGTATCTTATGGGTTTTGGTGCAATTGTAAATGGGATTGATTCCTTAAATTTCTTTCTTCTGTCTTGTTTTTGGTTTATAGAAATGCACCTGATTTCTGTGCATTGATTTTATATCCTGACACTTTACTGAATTCCTGTACAAGTTCTAGCAGATTTGGAGTGGAGTCTTTTGGGTTTTCCACATAAAGTATCATATCATCTGCAAAGAGTGATAGTTTGACTACTTCTTTGCCGACTTGGATGCCTTTAATTTCTTTTTATTGTCTGATTGCTGAGGCTAGGACTTCTAGTACTATGTTGAATAGCAGTGATGAAAATGGACATCCCTGCCTTGTTCCTGACCCTAGCAGAAAAGCTCTCAGTTTTTCCCCATTGGGAATGACATTCGCTGTGGGTTTTTCATAGATGGCTTTGATGATACTGAGGTGTGTACCCTCTGTCCTTACACTTTGAAGAGTTTTGATCAAGAAAGGATGCTGTACTTTGTAAAATGCTTTTTCAGCATCTATTGAGAGTATCATATGGTTCTTGTTCTTGTTCTTTTTTTTTCTTGTCCTTTCTTTTATTAATGTATTGTATCACATTGATTGATTTGTGGATGTTGAACCAACCTTGCAGTCCTGGAATAAATCCCACTTGGTCATGGTAAATAATCCTTTTAATGTACTGTTGGATGCTATTGGCTAGTATTTTGGTGAGAATGTAACTTCATTTATTGACTCCAGTTCTTCAAGGGCAAAAGTCTTCTCTTTGGGAGTTGGGCATTTTTTTTGAGTTTACTACACATAATAATTTACTAAAAGATTCCTCAGTAGCCTTATAAGAACAAATCAGCTGTGAAGTATTATGCAGGAACTAGAAAAATCTAGTTCACTTTTTGAGCCTCATACAATTTTCAGAAAATTCAGTAAGTAACTATTTTAATATTTTTTCCATATGTAAAACTTTATTCAAAAATTTTAAATGAATTAATGTACATAAAGTACCTAGAATACTGTCAGGTACATAAAAAGCCATCCTAACTACCATTATGACAGAGGAACTCCAAATGATATTTAAAACATTCTAGCCAGTACATATTAAGTTAATATATTTTTATTAACTTTGGGTTTTTTTGACTGATTTCAAGAAATAGAAAAAGATGGTCTTCTGTAAGATAATGCTGCTTATTAAACTGTGGTTTGAAATATGAATTGTTTTCTAGATGATAAAATGCTTCAAATTATTTTCCACAAGGAACTTCTATTTCTGTTTGTTTCCAGCAGGACTTACTGCTTGAATACCTTTCCTATCTATGGCCATTAGTAGTATTGTTGTTTTCTAAAAACTGGACTAACTGAACATTTAAGAATGTAATAAGGAAGAGGGAAGAAGAAAGAATGAGTAATTCATTTTTACTCTGAGCTTATTTAGAACAAAATATAATCCTGATAGTGTTCCTTTCTTGAAAATTCTAAGATTTTCATTCCTCTATGTCTTTTTTTTTTTTAAATATTTATTTTTTTGACAGAGAGAGATAACAAGTAGGCAGAGAGGCAGCCAGAGAGAGAGGAGGAAGCAGGCTCCCTGCTGAGCAGAGAGTCCAATGTGGGGCTTGATCTCAGGACCCTGAGATCATGACCTGAGCTGAAGGCAGAGGCTTTAACCCACTGAGCCACCCAGGCACCTCTCCTCTATGTCTTATCAGACAGAAGGAAAGCTTTTAAGTGTTTGCCTGCATCAACTCAGCTTCATTTCCTTGTCAGATATTTAGGGCAATATCAACTGAACACCAGATTTGGGGCAGTAAGTTAGTTGGTCCAGAAAACTTAATTTCTTTTGGAAGAGTTTAGCAGACATAAGACGAATAAAATGTGAAGCTATAAGAAGCTTACAGATCCTTTAGTCTATGGTTTTCTAAAACTTTTTAAAATATAAAATAGAATGCATATGGGGGTACCTGGGTGGCTCATTTGGCTAAGCATCTGCCTTCAGCTCGGGTCATGATCCCAGGGGCCTGGTATGGAGCCCCGAATCAGGCTCCCTGCTCAGTGGAAAGCCTACTTCTCCCTCTCCCATTCTCCCTGCTTGTGTTCCCTCTCTCACTGTCTCTCTCTCTCTGTCAAATAAATAAAATATTTTTTAAAAATTTGAAGGCATATGATAATGAAAACCACCAATAATGCACATACATACACATCGTTATGAAGTTATATAAGACAAATACTCTAGAAATCACCACCCAGGTCAAGAAATATAACTTTTTTAAGCATCCCAAAGTCCTTTTCTGTGTCCTATTACTCCATCTTACTCCCACACTTACTTATAACTCTATTTTACTATATAAACATTTGTATCAATCACTTCCTTGCATTTCTTGATAGTTTTAACAACCAAATAGATTTCTTAGACATTATATTTAACCTTTACTCTTATTTTATTTGATATTTTTTAATGTCTTTGGCCCTAATATCCTGACTTCAGGAACATATAGAAAGGATAATAAACCAAAACCAGTGGGTTTTAATCCCAGGAAGGCCAACTTGGATAGCTATTTAAAAATCAATGTAATTCACCATATTTTTTTTTTTTTTGTAATTCACCATATTAACAGACAAATTTTTTTTTCATCCTCTCCTTGGATATAAAAAAGGTATTTTACAAAATCTAACACCACTCATGGTAAAGGCTGTCAGCAAATTAGAAATAAAAGGATCTTAACAAAGGTGACCTGTAAAAAAAAATT